GGCTCGGGGCCTGGCTCTGTCCTCTGTCTCGGTGAGCGCAAGCCGGTCACTGGCTGGGGTCTTCAGCTTGACTGGTGCTGGTCGCTGGGGACCGCAGGACTGGGGAGCCATGCAAACCCCTCCCGGATGGTTTGATTGCTTCCTCCCATAACTTACTGCTCTTCCCAGGTTTCCTGTAACCAGAAGTAATGTCTAGTTTGATGACATTTAGGTGAAATGTAATGGGCAGGAAAAGCCAGAGGCACCGCTGTGATTTTCCTATTGAGATACCACAGGCAAGCTGGGCGCGGCTGTAATCCCAGCAGTAGGGAGGCTGAGGCAGGAGGATCGTTGCGAGTTCGAGACCAGCCTGGGCTACAAAGTGAGCTCAAGCCCAGCCTGACCTGCATAGCAAGACCTGTCTCAAAAAAAGACACACACACAAAAAAAAAAAAAATAAGAAAGAAAGCAGACATGGGAGGCACCTTGGTTTCAGGGGGCCCCCAGTGGTGGGAGCTGCGTGCTCGGTTTCAGGAGGGCCCCGGAAGAAGGCGGACAGGCGGGCGTGAGAGACGCACGATGCTTAGCTCCTCCTAGAAGGGTGCGGAGGAGAGGTTAAGACCCGGGTGGCCTGCAGGCCGTCTCTCGTTCTGTTCCAAGTGTCACCCCGATTCAAAGGAGAACGTTCTGACCTGTCTATCAGAGATGGTGGAGACAGGAGAGGGGTCGGGGCTGAGGGGACGGCAGAGGAGACAGACAGCTGCAGAGGGAAGGGGCAGTATCGCTGCTGCCCAGGGCCTGGGGCAGCCAGGAAGTCAGGCGGGGAGGAGGAGGATGGTAGAGGCCGGCGACAGGATGGATGCGGCGGGTTATCTTATTAGCAAAGCCTTTCAGCGTGAACACAGCTGCACCGCTTGCTCCTTTAAGGAGAAACAGATCTGAGAATGTAAGACAGGAGACTAAAGAGATAGAGTAAGAACCTCAAAGCAAGACCCCATATTGTATCCCAAACTGGAGAAAATGACTGCCAAAGACAGCACTGGGAGAACTGGTGCATTTTAAGTTTGGGCTGTGATTTAGGTGCAGGGTTGCACTACTAAGCCTCCTGAAAGTGATTTATTTTTATGTTTTTTTTTTTTTTTTTTTTTTTTTTTTTTTTTTTTTTTTTTTTTTTTTTTTGGTTTTTCTCTGGTACCGGGAACTGAACTCACGACCTTGCGCCTGCCAGGCAGGCGCTTTGCCGCTGAGCTAAATCCCCAGCCCCACTGAAAGTGATTTCTGTACTGTGGTTCAACAACAAAGTGGCTTGGACATTCTCTGAGCTGATTGGAGGAAGTGTTTGCAAATGACATGCAGGTGCGCGCGCGTGTGTGTGTGTGTGTGTGTGTGTGTGTTTGTGCACACACATGCAAATGTATTCTATATGTACACAGCATGTCTGTATACATATGTTTAAGAATATATGTCTAGAGATGGTATCTCAGGCTGGCCTCGAACTTTCGGCAGTCCTTCTGCCTCAGCCTCCCAAGTGCTGAAGCTACAGGCATGTGCCACCATGCCCTTGCCCTGTTCTTTGTACCTCCTTCACCTCCGAATGAGAAACGCCAGCTCCCTAAGGCAGCAGGAGCTTTAATAGCTTACTCAGTCTTTTTTGGGGGGCTACTAGGAATCAAACTCAGGACCTTGCACTTGCCAGGCAGGCGCTTGTGCCACTGAGCTATATCCCTGGCCCCTTGCTCAGTCTTATGAAATAATCTCAGACCTGCTGCCCTTAGACCACTCCCAACAAAAGCCTGCTAAGTGAACTTCAAGATTTCTTTGCAGATCTTCCAGCTGAGCTACATAATCCAAAAACTGTGTTCAAAGTTATTGGGATCATGTCCCTCCCTGTGATCATATTTGGTATAAAATTAGAATCATTCATTTCTGTTTATATTTTATTTTTTGAGACAGGGTCTCACTATGTAGTCCAGACTGGCTTAGCACTCACAACCATCCTCCTGCCTCAGCCTCCTGAGAGCTGGGATTACAGGCCCACACCACCACATTCATCTGTATTCTTAGCTTCCCTCCATCTTGTTTAGTCTGTATAAAAATACATACTCCCATCTCGTCCTTGTTCGCACCTACCTCCTGACGACAACCGGCCACATTTGTTTCTTTTCTTTTCTATGCCTCTCTGCGAAAGGAAGCAGATGTGCCTGTGTATTTTTATACACCATTTTTCCTGCTGAAAAAGCAGCACACAGACCCTGGCGTGGTGGCACACACCTGCCATCCCACCAGTTGGGAGGCTGAGTCAGGAGGATCCCTGTAAGTTGAGGCCAGCCTGGGCTACAAGAAAGAAACTCTGTCTCAAAAACAAGATGGCGCACTGTGTGCTCCTTTGCACATTACTCTCTGGTTGTGCGGTGATGTCTGGAGTGATCACCCAGCCTCTCATTCTGCAGTGCTCAGATGCATGCCAGATCCCTGTCCTCACTCTGCGAGGGCATCAGCCCCTGCAGCCTGTCACTCCCTGGTGACACCAGAGTAACCTTGCATGTGCAGGGGAGTCCCACATGTGGGCTGCAGGAGATGGGATGGAGCCATTGTGGTTCTGTGAGGTGCCAGCACCCGCTCTGTGGGACCTGTCCTCCTGCGTCCTGCTTGTGGTACAGGGTGATGCTCTGGACCCCCAGACCCTTTGATCACTGTGGAATGGCTTCTCCACAGAATTCCCCTCAGCATTGCGTTTAGCTTGACTGAGGGAGCTTTGTCTAGTTTAACTTTGTTTTAATTGATTAACTGAGTCTTTCATTTTTGAGCCAGCATCTCCCCATGTAGCCCAGGCTGGCCTGGGACTGGAGGCGATCCTCCTGCCTCAGCCTCCCAGGTGCTGGGATTACAGGCATGCACCACCGTGCCAGGCTGTTTTGTTTTTTAAGCAGGGAGACCCTAGGAGGTCTGTGTTAGGAGACAAGGATGGAGCAGTCTGAAGGAAGGGAAGAGACAGACCCGGGGCACGGGGGGAAGGCATTCGGGTAGGACAGCCTCAGGCGGAAGTGTGTCCAGGCATTCGAGGTGGAGCAGGCAGTCAGGAGCCGGAGCAGTGGAAGGCAGCAAGCGCCTGGTGAGGCTGGCAGGACCCGGTGGGCTCGGAGGTCCACAGAGTTTCTCTCCCAGGAGCCAGGTCACGAGCCTTCGTGCCTCGAGTGTCCGCCCAGTCCCCGTTGCGGGGCTCAGCTCTCCCCAGGCAGTAGAAAGCCGTCCCAGGCTATAGGTGAGCAAACGGTGTGGCCGTGTGCCCACGGCCTTTTATTATGGCATTTTATTAGCAGGTACAGAAATTTGAAGTTCGGATACTTTTGTTTTTGAGAAAAGGTCTCAGTACAATAGTTCAGGCTGGCTTTGAACTCACTGTGTAGCAAATGGCGATCCTCCTGCCTCAGCCTTCCGAGTGCTGGGATGATAGGCATGTGCCACCACGCCCAGCAAACTTCACATACTTTTAAAATGTGTAATTCGCATATGGTACAGTTCACAGAACTGAGCGGTTTTCAGTAGCTTCACGAGGCTGTGCATACTTCCCCTGAGCTAATTTCACTATCACTCCCCCATCAAAGAAACCGCTCATTCTTTTAACATCCAGCCGACCCATGTCCATCCTCCTGCGGGCCTCCACCCACCTATTCCTGTCTGCATGCATGCGATTATTCCGGTCCCCTCACTGTGGCAGGGTCACATCGTCTGTGCTCCTTTGTGTTTTTGTGCACAGAGCACAGTAGTTTAGATCCATCCCTGTGTAGTGTAAATCAGTCTTCACTCCTTTTGCTGGCTGTGTAATACTCCTCGTTGGTATACTGTGTTTCTTTTATCCATCCACTGGCAGACCTCTGGGTTGTTTATACTTTTTGGCTGTTATGAGCAGGGCTGCTACAAACAATTCACGTACACACTGTTGTGTAAACACTTGCTGTCAAGTCTCTTGGGTGTGCACCTAGGTGTGGAACTGCTGGGTCCTATGGTAATTCTATCTTTTCTGTTTTTGTTTGTCTGTTTGTTTTGTTTTTTTTTTTCCGGTACCAGGAATCGAGCTCACAACCTTGCACTTGCCAGGCAGGTGCTGTACACTGAGCTAAATCCCCAGCCCGCTATCTTTTCTGTTTTGAAGAACTGCTAAGTGAGATTCATAGACTTCCTACAGGCTGCAAAACATTACGCTTCCTTTGACTTATTTTCCAACCCTTTAGTGATTAAAAGCCAGCCCTCGCTGGGGAGCTAGACAGAGACAGAAAGTGTGCTGGGATGGATGTTGATCCTCCTGGCGGACAGCGGAAGGGATTCGGGTGTGTCCTGGGTGTGCTGGGCACACGGTGCTCCTCCGTGGGGTTCCGGGGCCAATAAACCTCAGTTTGAGCAGGTTAGGGCTGGCCACGCCACTCTCCCAGGTTGCCCTGGGCACGGCTGATGCTGGAAGCCAAGTCCACCTTGCGAAAGTGATGTTTGCCTTCCGAAAATCCTCCATCAGACCCCTCCTCCCACCCTCTCCCTGTGGGTCTCCTCAGCCCCACGAGGAGAGCGTGAGTCTCCTTCCGGAGCTGGGGTGCCTTTCGAGTGCTACAGAGCAGCAGCCAGCCCAGAGCAGGGCGCGGAGAGCGGCCATCCTTAGGATGCCGCTGAGATCAGTACCCACGAGGCCCCATGTAGGCTTCACCGTCCTCCTCTAGAATGTCCCAACTCCGGGCCTCCTGCCAGCACCAGCCAGCTCCAAAGGCCCGGCTCACACCCTGGCCTGTCTAGGCCCCTCCTCCGCCCTGAATCTTCCCTGGCTCCCTGGGGCCCTTCCCATGGACGCCTGGCTCCTCGGGGTGGCTCCGAGCTCCTCCCGCCAGCCGTGTTTCTGTGACTGCTGCCACGTTACAGCCGCATGGACGGACCGGCTCTGTCCGGGAGCAAGGTGGCGGGAGGGCAGTGGGCTAGGCCTGGGCTCTCCTTCTAATGCCCAGGGGCACCCCTCTGTCCCCCCTCTATTCCTCCAGGCCTCTCCTTGGTGGTGGGCTTGGTTCTTTACATCTCCAGCATCAATGACGAGGTCATGAACAGGCCCAGCAGCTCGGAGCAGTACTTTCATTATCGCTACGGGTGGTCTTTTGCCTTCGCTGCCTCCTCCTTCCTGCTGAAAGAGGTGACGTCCTGGGCCCGGCCTGGAGGCGGAAGGGCAGGGGAGGAGGTGGGGCCGGGAGCTGCACCGCCCGGGCTCCTGGAGGAGGGGGGCTGGGCACCCTGATCGCCGGCCCGGGGTGACCGGGGACCTTGCCTTTGCCCTGCGCCCTAGGGGGCCGGCGTGATGTCGGTGTACCTGTTCACCAAGCGCTACGCCGAGGAGGAGATGTACCGCCCGCACCCGGCCTTCTACCGCCCCCGGCTCAGCGACTGCTCCGACTACTCGGGCCAGTTCCTGCAGCCCGAGGCCTGGCGCCGAGGCCGCAGCCCCTCGGACATCTCCAGCGACGTGTCCATCCAGATGACGCAGAACTACCCCCCGGCCATCAAGTACCCGGACCACCTGCACATCTCCACCTCGCCCTGCTGAGGCCGGCGCGGAGTCCCGCCCCGCGGCCCCTCGCCCTGCCACTCCTCCCGGGCCCTCCGCGGGTGCCTCGGCTCTGCGGTCCCTCGCTCCCAGGAGAAGGGCGCCTGGCGGCCCCATCACCGCAGGCCACGCCCTCATGAATAGCTCCGCCCTTCGAGGACGCCCGACCGCCACCGCAGGCCACGCCCACCACTCGAATTCAGCAGCTCCTCTCGAGGGCGCCGTCGGCTCATCAATGCAGACCACGCCCACCTCCCCCCTTATCCAATAGCTCCTCCCCTTTATAGGGTGGGACACTGCCCACTGCTAGACCACGCCCGCGGCCCCTCATTTCAATAGCTCCTCCTCTTTAGAGGGTGCTGCCCTGCCGCGTCACTAGACCACGCCCACCACCCCTCCTTTTAATAGCTCCTCCCTTTACAGGGAGCCAAGCAGGCCCGTTGCTAGGCCACGCCCACCGTCCCTTATTTGAATGGCTCCTCCCCTCTAGAGGGTGCTGCACCGCCTCATCACTCTGCCTCATTTCAGTAGCCCCACCCCTTTCCAATCTCTCCTCCTCATTGGTCCCTTCCATTTGCCCCATCCCGCCCCTTTCCCCGGCCCCTCCCCTCCCCAGGAGGAATCTGCTCCTCCTGGCCAGCAGCCCCCCAACCTCCGGCTCACCCGCGGGGCGCCGGGCTGGAGAGTGCGGTCGGCAGCCACCAGGAATGCCGCTCGCCTTCTCCTCCCCTCCGCCCCGCCCCTCTCCCGTGGCACCGCGCCGCCTGGCCTGGGGTGCTGCGGTGCTGGGGTAATGGGGTGCAGGCCTGGGAGAGGCTGGGCTGCGCCCCCTCGCTCCCCTGGGACACCCCGACCTTCCCCACCCCCACTCCTCCGCCCACGCTCCCTTCTCCCTGCACCCGCCGGTCCACAGCCCTGGAGCGTCCAGCCAGCGCCCCGAGCGCCCCAAGCGCGAGGCTGGGTCCCGGGGTGCCGTGCCCGCCCGTCCCCCCTCGAGGCCCCGTCGAGGGAGGGAGGGGCAGTAGCGGGGGTCCACGCCCCCTCGCCTGGTCTTCCACTTCTGGCTCAGCTTCTCCTCCATCTCAGACCCCCACTCTGGCCTCTGTCAAGGCCCACGCTCCCCTTTGGACAGGTGGGGGGAGGGAGAGGTCCCCAGACCATCGCCCCCCGCGTCCAGGGCGGGCGAGTAGCACAGCGTCGTACACGGAAGCAGAGGGGCCCCGGGGTGGGGGGAGGGCGGGGGCCGGGGCTTTTAGTCTGCATCTGGGGGGCAGCAGTTAACCCGTCTCGCGCAGCGATTTTTAACGAGGCTGGGGGGAGGGGCGGGGGGCGGGGGGCCTGGCTCTGTTATTTACCGTGTATCATATGTAAATACTGACAGAAACTTCAATAAACTTTATTTCAAACACGTGTCCGCCTGGCCGGAGGGCGGGACGGGGTACAGGGGTGTAACTCCAGGTACCCCCACCCGGGTGGGGCGACGGCCAGCGTTGCGGAAGAAAGCGATTTCGCGGCTCTTTATAATTCAGCGTGAAGTGTGAGATTAGCACACGGACAGGGTCGGCAAGAATGAGCTCTCGGGATCACTGTGACCGCTCAGGCACCGCGTCACTGGTCTCTCCCCGAGTGGAACTTCTTTCTGCATTTGTTGGTATAGACGTGTGGTGCAATTCCCTGCGTCTGGGGGAGCTGGGAGCTGGAATACCCACCTTGATCACTGCACCCCTCCCCTGCTGTCTGTGCCACACCGTGCACAGGGGCAGAGCGGCACAAGGCCCATCGGGGTCACACGCAGAACCCACAGCCTCAGCTACCGGGAAGCCTGGCTCCAGACGCGAGCTCCGGGCGCGGGGAGCAGCAGGTCTTCCTCCTGCTCCACGCCGTCGCCTGTGGAGGAACAACTGCTGCCATTTGCTGCACAATTACCCGCGCCAGACGGTTTCCTTCTGAACAGGATCCCCCGGACACCACAGGGCCTGCGCGGAAGGAGCACTCTTTCTGCGGGGAGCGTGGGTCAGAAAGAGGCGCTGGGGCCTGGGACCTCACCCTGGGGATCCACAGCAGCCCAGATGTTTGATGAGGCTCTTCATGGAAATCCTTCTGGGTTTTTTGTTTTGTTTTGTTTTGTTTTTGTCTTTTCAAGACAGCGTCTCCCTATGCAGTTCAGGCTGGCCTTGAGCTCACTTTGTAGCCCAGGCTGGTCTCGAACTCACAACGACCCTCCTGCCTCAGCCTCCTGAGTGCTGGGATTACAGGTATGCGCTACCACGCCCAGCTTCATGAGAAATCTTTCTTATTCTTATTTATTTCTGTATTTTGCAAGGCTGGGGTGGAGCTCCAGGTCTCTTGTGTGCTAGGCGAGTGCTTTAGCAAAGAGCTGCACCCCACTGCAGGAAGCTGACTCCTAAGGTATTTGGAGGGAAGCATAGCACCAGCCCCCCTTACACACACACACACACACACACACACACACACACACACCACAAACCCTTGTCTAGATCTACTTATCCCCTTACGGGGTAGGAAGTGCAAGATCAGAACCACATCCCAGCTGGAAATGTTCCCACCACAGCCACATGATGGAGGCCCCCTGGGAATCAAGCAGCCCATTTTATGGATGAGGAACCTGAGGCACAGAATGGGAGGTCACCCAGCTGGTAAGGTGCAAAACACACTCCATGCCCGGGCCTGTGTACTCCGGAGTCCACCTTATCAGCTGCCGTATCTCACTACGACAGATCGCATGCTCACTCATCCTGTGACCTTGAGCAAGTCTTCTAATCTCTGGGGCTTCAGTTTCCTTTTCTGGGGGAGAAAAAAAAAAAAAGGGAGGGTGGTTTAGAAGGATTCCAAATCCCTCTGGAACAAGGAGGAGGGTGGTGTGGGTAGGTTCGCAGGAAAGAATTCATATTCAGGAGGGCCGGACTCCCCAGGGAAGCATTCTGAGTCATTTTCCATGATTCCAGGAATTTCTGAAGGTCATGCTTGAGATTTGCAATGGCAAATATGTTTCAGCTTTTTTTGTTATAAGTAATTGATTCACACTGGCTGCTTGGGACTGTGTTAGGAGGGCGCTGAAGGTTTGTTCAGCAGGAAAGAACGTCCCTATTGATTGGTGCTGCCTGCCACGGTGATCAATTGGTGCTGTCTGCCATGCCAGCAGCATGGGAGGAGGTGATCTAAGTGTTGGATATTTGCTGACTTTGTCAGGAATTTAACAACCTAAAATCCTAAAGTTTATGTTTTTTTTAAATACCAGCCAGGCGTGGTTGCACATGCCTGTCATCCCAATACTCAGGAGGCTGAGGCAGAAGATTGCAAGTTCTAGTATAGTCTGGGCAACTTAGGGAGCTTGTGTTTAATTATTAAAACAAAAGGAAAACAAATAAACACAAAAAAAACTTTTAAAAGGACTGAAAATGTAGGTCAGTGGTAGAGGACTTGCCTCATATGAGTTTGATTCCCAGTACAACAAACAAGAACGGGCATGGTGGTGCCTATCTGTAATCCCAGCACTCAGGAGGCTGAGGCAGGAGGATCCTTGCGAGTTCAAGACCAGCCTGAGCTACAAAGTGAGCTCAAGGCCAGCCTGAACTGCATAGTGAGACCCTGTCTCAAAAAGACAAAACAAGTAAACAAATAAGCATACAAAAAATCTGCTTAAAGAACTGTTAAAAATATATATGAAGCCAAAGAAAAAGGACAAATAAGAATCAAAAAGTGCCCACTTCAGCAGCACATATACTAAAAAAAAAAAAAATCAAAAGAATTAAGTGAAATGTCAACTACTTGTTTGATTTGGAAGTGGCATGAGATTGCACGGCTGCAGACCCATTTCTGTGACAGGAATACTGTAAGTGCTCTACCTTTATCTCTGTCCCTTGTATACCTCGGCTCACGTTTCCAAGGCTGCTGAGGGGCAGAGGTCTGCATAAATCGGGCACATAATTTATCAGGCGCTTCCTATGCGCAGCTTTCATGCCAGTCCTGGTCCTTTGTGTCCCCAACCCAAGGAGGTCTGCTACTCACTGCCACACCAGCCTGGGCAGAGACAGAGGCCCGTGAACTTTCTCCTGGCCACACGCTGGCCGATGGCCAAGCTGCGGCTGGAACTGGGCCTGGCACTCACCCCGCCAGCTGCAGCTGGCGTCTGGGGCCCTTTCCACTCCCTGTCCTCTACCTGCTATTGTTTACGGAACAGTGCCACACACCAGCGGTTAGCAAACGTGGGCTGCGGACAGGGCATCTCTGCTTAAAGGCCCGCAAAGGAGAAATTTTTTTCCGGTCCTTTTTTTTTTTTTTTTTTGTCTTTTTGAGACAGGGTCTCACTATGCAGTTCAGGCTGGCCTTGAGCTCACTTTCTAGCCCAGGCTAGTCTCAAACTCGCAACGATCCTCCTGCCTCAGCCTCCTGAGTGCTGGGATGACAGGCGTGTGCCATTGCACTGGCCTCTTTTTTCAGTCTTATTCGCTCATGAAGAATAGAGTCTGGAGGCTTCATGATGAGAGAGAATACCCCATCTTTCTGCTTTTAAACTGAACGTGGACCTGGGCATGGTGGTACACGCCTGTAATCTCAGCACTTGTAAGGCTGAGGCAGGAGGATTGCCATGAGTTAGAGGCCAGCCTGAACCCCTACATAGCAAGGCCCTGTCTCAACAAAGAAACAAATAAACAAGCACACCCCCAAACAAACAAAAACTCATAAACAACGTTGAGTAGATTTCAAGAATGTAAGCCATGAGCAGTCTGGTGCAGCAGCAAACTCCTGTCCTCACAGCACTCGGGAGGCTGAGGCAGGAGGGTAAGTGTGAGTGCAAAGCCAGCCTGGGCTACATAGTGAGACTCTATCTCAAAACCAAAATGAAGCACAATCCCAGCACTTGGGAGGCCAAGGCAGGAGGATTGCCATGAGTTCGAGGCCAACCTGGAAAAAACAAAAACAAAAGAACCCCCCACAAAAACCAAAACCAAATCCAAAGGAGTATAAACCAACACACACACACACACACACACACACACACACACGTGCGTGCACATGTTTTGGGAAACCACAGGTTTTTTTTTTATTAAAATAGTATGTTTAGGGCTGGGGATTTAGCTCAGTGGCACAGCACCTGCCTGGCAAG